CGAACCTGCAGGACGGGGAGAGGGGTGACTTCGACTGGCATGTTTCTCTTTCCTCTGGAGGGAAGGCTTTTACCTTGGTGGATTCATCTCCTTCTGGGCACCTCCATATTCGAGCCTGGAGGACACTGGCTCCCTGCAGGCTAGCTCCTCGAATCATTTAAAGGACTCACAACAGACCCCGCTATGGCTTTTCTTTTCCACTTCTTACGATTCTGTATTTACTACAGTGCACATTGCCTTAGCTACAGTTACCATAGCGTCAGGGGCCAGAGAACAGGATGGCAGGTGACCACATTTATCTGCTGACGCACAACGCCTGCTTGGCCATGTCATTAAAATTACGTAAGTTAAAGCACATGGAGAGGAGAACCAGGTTTGCTGAGTAAACTTGTTGTTTTTAAAGGGCAGGTGAGGGGTGGGAGAAAGTCATGAAATTTTAAAATTTCGAGGGAAAGCGTTTTCTTAGGAAATATTTCCAGCCATGCCACACAACTTGAATGCACATCACAGGTTACGGTAGCAGACGTTCAGAGCTCCCTGAGGCCAGCACCCAGGGGTGAGGGTGGCAGGAGGCCTCCACAGAGGGCAATGACCACTGCCCTGTCCTCTCTCTGTGGTTCTCAAGGTGCGGGCTCTGGGAACATGCGGATACGCACGCCCTCGGCCCCACCCGACTGCAGCCTGCGGGGCGGGAGCCACCGCTCCAGGGCAGCTGGGTACCACGCAGAGAGAGCAAGAAGACAGAATGAACCAGCCACCGAGCCGCTGGGCCTGTTTCTTGTGAAAGAGAGAGGATGCATCCCAAGAAGGGCACGCAGCTGAAATGTTCTCAAGGATTATTGCTGTTCGCAGACAAGTGTCAGGGGTGGTTGCCAAGGTGGTGAAAACAAGCCAGCATGCCTGGCCCTGCCCACGCTGTCAGGCCTCAAGCCCCCTTGTGAGAAGTGGTGCTAACGCTACCACCTGCCCCAGGGCTGAGTCCCTGAGAGGTTCCTTAGCGTCTCAGGCCACTTGCCGGCACAGAGAAGGCTGACCAACACCACCGACGTTACAGCCAGGTGCTGGCAAATTAACCACACTGCTGCCGAACCCGAGGTAGGCAAGCCTTCCCTGTAAAGTGCCAGATACTAACTTCCAGGCTTCTCCGGCCTAGCTCTGTGTCACAGGTACTAAGCACTGCCGTTTATGAAACAGCCACAACCGTGGGCATGGCGGTGTGCACACAAAACTTTACTTACAAAAAGGGGCAGAACAGATCTGGCCCCCCGAGCCAGTCCCTGGTCTAACTGGTAATGAGTGGCGCGCTGGCTTCAATTTAAGTAACAATTGCTTCTTTGATTACTTACGCCTGGAACAGGCTGTGATTGAATGAGGTACAGAAAATTCCCGAGGCAGGCCCGCAACAAATTTAGAATTCTTGGAACCAAATGCAACAGATCCAAGAGGCCTAACATACTCTGCGGGTTAGGTCACTGCGCCTAGTTGAAGCTCAGGCACAGGCCCCGGCAGAGGGCGCGCGAGCTGCGTGCACCAGCGGGTGGCCGAGTGGACTAGATACCTGAGCCGCACAAGGCCCCGAGCGGCAGGTGTGCGGCCGGGCAGCCTCCCGCACCTGGCGGTCCACGCAGAGCCCCCGGCCCCCGCCCAGGCCCCCTTCCCTCCGCGGAATCCCCGGCGGACAGAGAGCGCACCAGGACCGGTACCCAACGACCACAGGTGAGGGCGGCGGGGCGCACACAGGTAAGGCGAGGGGGAGGCGCGCACAGGTCACGGGACGAGGACAACTGGCAAGGGGAGGGGCGGCGCCCGGGGAAGGCGCGCACTCAGTCAAGGGGAGGGGGCGGCATTCCGGGGAAGCGCAGCTGCAGTGAGGAGGTCCCAGGAGCTCCTGGCTCTCACTCTCGGATTCCTTTTCGATTATGTCTCCTTCACTGTCAAGCTGTCACCCTTTCTTCTGGTTCTGATGTGTCACTGACTGAAAAATCAGAAAATCCAGTTTCTTAGAATTTTGTCAAAGAAGGGGTTTCCAGGTGAGGCTCGGATGCTGCTGTTCCGGGGACCTGGGGGTTTGCTTTTGGTTTCTTCCCTTGTTTTGCCACCAACGCCAAGTGCACTTTGCAAAAATAAATCCCATGTAGGTCTTAAAAGGTAAAAACCTATTCCAGTGTGCCTCCGGGAGCATACACACGGAAACAAAACACCAAGGGCTCTGGCCATCTTTGTCCTGAGTACAGTCTAACCTCAAGAGAGGCCCATGAGGAACCTATATGTACAGACTGATCCTTTTAGATGCTGTTGGTACTCAAGACAAAACTAAGGATTATAGACTTAAAACGAGATTAGTTTTTATTTAGAAAGGAAAAGCCTGTGAGTTAAAGAAAATGAACCATCTAATGAAATTCACAGACCTCATTAGTGGTATCTTACCAGGAAGTGATATGAATTCTTCTCAGAGAAACAGAGCAGAGTTTTGTGTGACTCATTTCCAGATTCCTGTGGTTTATTATCCTTATTTCTAATTTGTTGGAAGACTATCTTTACACAGATAACAAATGTTCCAGTATTCTGACACTGTAACACCCACATAGCAACAAGAATAAACTTTAATGTTAAATCCAAAATCTGTGGCTTCTGGGTTTAATAGAAACAGACATTAGTAAAAAGTTTCCTTTCTCCCTAGCAGTATGTTTTAGAGAACTCGCTAACTTCTCTAACATGTTGAAAGTTGCCAGTTTACATGGATCTGTACTGCGGACACGGGTTGCTGATGCTCCTTTTAAATGAGAAAATGAAAAACAGTACAGGTTAGTCTGTTTCAAATTATGTTTTTAAGTTTCGTGAATGCTAATTGATTAGAATTGGGTCAATTCATTGTGCCATGAAGGACAGACACACTTTCACGGGAAAGACACACTGAAGTACATGAGTAAGTGAAACGTGGTCTTTTTGCACAAGCCAAGTGAGTCTAACCGTCTTGCTGTCGATGCTGCTCACATGAAAAAGGAAAAGCTGGGAACCAGCCGCCCCAGGACAGGAGAGCACCCCTAACCCCCACCCCCCACTGTCTTCCAAATCGGCCCAAGGCTACTGTCACTTAGCTTTGCCAGGTGGACTGGTGGGAGGCCTGGGCAGGACCAGGGCCCCGGGCATGGCCTCGGGGCACAGTGGGGTCTGGTCTGGCCCCCACTTTGATCTCCCTGATTCAAGAGAGGCAGGTCCCTTGGGAGCAGCATCTCGTTGAAGGCGTAAAGCGAGCACCAAATACCAAATCATGCTGCTCCCACCTCACACGTGGGTCAGTTTACATGATGAGCAGGATCTGAGAAATGGTTCAGAGAACACATAGCTTCTTTTTGTCTTGAGAAACCTCAGACTTTAATTTCCCCTAACTTGGTAAAGAAAAACACTACTTAAGAGGACTCTTAGTTATTTCTATGATGTTTAATACTTAAGTCTTCTTAGCCCTCCAATCAGAACTCGAATTTCTGGCTGAAAATGTGCCCACTGCGTTTAAATCATACCCTCGGTGTTTAGCTACATAGTTCCTGCCTGACTCACATTCTACCAGAAAGTCACACACAGGCAGACACAGGAGCGTCAGTAGTCTCTCCCGCTGGGGTGACGGCACACTCAGCTGCCAGTGCACCAATATTCGGGAGTGAGGGGGGTATTTCCAGAGACCCCTTGCTGGTGCCACGCCGAGCCTGGCCCTGTGCAAGGAGCCTCTGGGTGCCCCAAATTGGGGGGAGTTCTGGGCTGACTGGAGGCCAGAAGCTTTCACGTTGAATACGACATTTTAATCCCCAGTTAGGAACAGGAAAGCCCTTGCTAGCTCTTCAGAGTTGAGGAAAAAAAAAAAAAAAAAAAAAAAAAAAAAAAAAAAAGCAAACCCAAGTGGGTATCCTGACAACATGTCTGTAAAAAGGCAGCACCTCCCAGAATCGTGAGCCCTGCAGGCCCGGCCCCTCTCTGTGGAGGGAAGGACCAGGCCAAGCGTGGCAGCAGGGACCACAGACCTCCTGCCGCTTCTCCACACGTGTAGTGATGCTTACACACCCTGTAAGTCTGCAACCAGACCTCCATGGTTTCAGCGACTCTGCATCATGGACTTTTGCTGCTTCGAGCTGTGCCATGCCCTTAGGCCCTTACCAGCTGGAGGGGAGAAGGCCATGTGCACTGCCAGGCTCGGAACAGCAGCCCCTGCACACTCCACATGCGAGGGGACACTCTCCGTTCCAGCCAGGAAGCCTCCAGACACAGTGTGGACTCCACTGCCCCCAGCCCACGGCCAAGCCTCTGCAGGCACCTAAACATCTGTGAGCTCCTGCCTCCAGGCCCCCGCATCACTTGAGTGGAGCATGCAGGCCACACAGGACCCAAACACTGGCTCCTTCTCCTGCCTGTTCAGCTTTAGGAGCAACTAAAACACAAATTAGCTTCTCTGGGCCTTTAACCACTGGTGTGTGTCAATATCCATTCATGGAATGTTCTCAAAATGTGACAAGAAAATCTAAAAGCAAAAGCACCTTCTGTGTGTGTGTGTGTGTGAGGAAACAGTATTTAAAAGCAAAACCCAGTGATTCCAGCATCTGACAGACCCAAAGCTGGGACCAGAGTACCTGTTCCTGCCTCCTCTCTGAGCCACCCCACCCTCACAGGTGGTTTCTGGGCCACCCAGACACTCTCTCCCTCACACTGCCCTGCTCCAGTGCACCCTGCCTTGGGGATGGCCTTTCCTGGATACCTCTTCCCTCCCACAGCCTGGCCCCATCCCTGCCCCCCTCCCGCCCTGTCCACCTGGGCCTGTGTGGCTGGGCTGTACCTGCACCCTCCCCAGGCTCCAGCCAGGCCTTCAGACCTGCCAGCTGGCTCCAGCTCCCTCCCAGGCCAGGCTCCTCTGAATCACTGTCCCCCTCTCCAATATCTCCAGTGTGTGTCTGCCAGGCCACACTCAGGAGGTGGGCAAACACAGGTGGGCTCCCAGACGAGGGCAGGAGTACCTGAGTGAGAAGCTGGTCTGGCGCTAGCTGGTTGATCCACCTTGTGTATCGCTCAGTGGAGTTGGGAGGGTCTCTCCTCACCTGGCAACCTACAATCTGTGAAACAAAACAGAACTTAACAAAGTCACTGTGAGCTCGCGTGCGCACACGCCTGTCTACATGTCTCACCTGGTGTAAGCGTGCACAGCCAGCGGGGAACTGAGACCCCACACTAGATCGGGGAAAACTTCTGGGAGTAAAGGGGAGAGGGAGGGCACCCACTCAGTGCAGAGTTCCGGGTGGACCCCACACCGGACAGTTCCAGCAGCACCCGTTAAACTACTCTGGGTTAGAACCATCACAGATAACCCTTCCCCCTTAATGCGTTCAAGTTACAATGACCTGTACACAAGGTCGGACATCCAGGTGCTTCCAGTAACTTTTTCTTGAGCCAGAACTGCAGCAGACATGAGAAGGTTCTGCTGCAGCTTCCTGGGCAGGAAATCCAAACGGTCCCATTTCTCCATAATGTTCGTGACTCAGCCTTCCCGAAGGCAGTAACCTCTCAATAAACAAGAGTCCAAGGGTACCAGCAGACAGGCCCTCCCCATCCCAGAAGGAATCCTGGTTCTGCAGTGCAACACCCTTCCCATAATGTACCATTTTCTTACCACTCCTCCTACCCTTGGTCCTCGAAGCCTGGCCCTGCCTCCTCTGGGGGACAACATGACTCCCTGTGCACATCCCTGCTTCTGCACCCCTGGCCCCCAGCAGCCCCGGTTCGCCCCTCCAACAGAGCTTGAAACCTAGGGACACCATCTGCACTTTTGTTTAAGTGTCTGCCTGCAGGATGTTGAAATAGGTCTATGACTGCTGTGTGAAGGGTCCAGTCCTCCAGAGTCAGAGTCAGATGTGGGAAGAGGCTGGTCCCCACTGCAGGCATCTGAGTCTGGCACTGCAGGAGGGAGCCCCCTTCAAGGGAGGACGTTGGGCAGCACAGGGCCTGCCCCTTGCTGAGGCTCAAAGAGCTCCTGTAAGGGTGCTAATGGCTGGCCCCAGACTCTGCTCTCTCCACCTTACAGTGGTTGCTGAGACCCGTATCAGCCTCCTTATTAAGAAATTAGCCAAAGTTCCACCACGATATTTGAATTTCTTACATCTTGCTCTCTATAGTACTTATGCAGAGTGACTAATTTATATTAATGCGGAAGTGCTAATGAAGAGCTTTGAGAAAGTTTTTGCTTGCTTGCCATTTTTTGCTGATGGGCTTTTTAAAACTTTTTTTGAGAAAACAGTAGATTCACAGGTAGTAGCAATAATTGAGAGAGATCCTGTGTATCTTTTACACAGTGTCTCCAACAGTAACATCTTGAAAAACCACTGCAAGTTACCACCAGCAAAGGGAACGCTTGCAGCTTCACAGCCACACCCCCTCTCTGTAAGTGGCAGTGCTGATCTGTTATTCCAATGCTGTAATTCTGTCTTTCCAAGAACGTTTAATCAACAGAATCATACAGTGTGTAGCCTTTTGTGATTGGCTTATTTTCCGCTCCCTAATTTTCTGGAGACTCGTCCAGGCTGTTGTGTGCAACAACAGTTTTTCCTTGTTTGGCTGAAAAACACTGCACAGTACAGACACTACGGGACATGTGGGCTGTTACTAGCATTCCGTGACGAACATTCACGTACAGGGTTTTGTGCGAACGTGTCCTTATTTCTCTGGGGTAAATGCCCATGAGTATGACTGCCAGGTTGTACAGTATTTGCATGTTTAATTTGCTAAGAAAGTGTCAAACTGTTTTCCACAATGGCTTCACCAGCTGTGTGTGAGTGACCAAGTGCTCTCACATCCTCACCGGCCTCTGGCGTGGCTGTGGCTTCGGTTTCAGCCCTTCCAACGGGTCTGCGGTGACCCTCATCACCGTTCTAACCTTGTTTCCTGATGGCTGACCCTCTTTCTGTGGCTTATGTGCTCCTGTCCATCCTCTTTGGTAAGATGTCTCTTGTCCATTTTCTAATGGGGATAAAACACCCTTGGCCACAGGTGCATGTGCTTTTCCCATACTTCCCACAGAGCTTGTCCCCTCCTTCCAGAACCACGCACTGAAGACAGGTGTGTTAGAACAGCTCCTGACTCCCCAGGGCCTGATCTGACCCAGATGTACTTCTGTGTCTATTGTATCTATTTTTTGGTCTTGTCAAGACTGGCTTTGCATCTGATTGTTGAGCAGAAAAGATTCTGGGAGAAAAAAGGGAAAATGATCCAAAGCTGTGAGGTAGAGAGGCACCTGGATGGCTCAGTCAGTGAAGCGTCTGGCTCCTGGTTTCAGCTCAGGTTCTGATCAGTTTGTGGGTTTGAGCCCCAAGTTGGGCCCCATGCTTACAGCACAGAGCCTGCTTGGGATTCTCTCTCTCCCTCTCTCCCTGCACTTCCCCCGCTCATGTTGTCCCTCTTTCTCTCTCAAAATAATAATTTAAAAAAGCTGTGAAGTAGAAATCTTGTTCAGAGTTGTGCTCACACATGGATACAGGGGCTTAACTTCCACACACAGATGCCACAGACCCACGCCCCACGCCTGCTGCGTCCTGAGCAGCTGCTAGGGGTGACAAACGGGCCAGGCGCATAGCAGCCCACTCCCAGCGCTTGTGTCCAGCCGGACGAGGCTCTTGTGGGCTCGCGGGTGCTCACGCTGCTTCCACGGTGAGCCCTTTGCCCAGATGCTGGCTTCTGATGAAGGCTAGAGCCAAGTGGGGTGGAGTCTCACATGGAGAAAGAGGGCGGGTGAGGTGACATCTGCCTTCCGTGGTGAGAGCACCTATAGATGAAGAGGAGGGTACTTCTGTGTGCCTTAACACTTTCTGAAAACAAAGTGGCCTGGCCCACAGAACAGAAACCACGGGAAACCTTTTCTTCCTGAAGACGTGTCTGTAGCGTGACACCAAGCTCTTCTCCTGAGCCAACCCCCCGCCTCCAAAGCAGGAGGGCTGGCGTGAGACGTCTCCGGTGACCAAGTACAACATATGCTCAATGTTCCACGTGCCGCGAGACTCACATGCCCTGGGGCAGAGCCGCTGTGACAGGAGCCTAGCACAATGCCCTGTATACAGGCGGTGCTCAGTAAGCACAGGCTGAATGAACCCAAGGGCGTGTGCTGGCTTTGGGGATGCACTGCCTCCTGCCACACACCTAAGGGTAGCCGCTAGAGTAAGGCTCTGGAGAGGTGTGGGCCGGTTCCTCTGAGAGCATGTGCTGCCAACCGGGCAGATGGCAGGGGATCCTGGAGTGTGGTTCCTACAAACGCTCTTGAAACTTTCTGAGCTTATATGGGGGCGTCTCAGATCCAGCAGTTTGGCTGGGAAAAAAGGTCAGAAAGTAAAGAAGGTTACTGGACGCAGAATGGAGGTAGTTGTCCAACCACTCTGCCTGCCCTTGGCCTGAATGGCGCCCACCAAGCCTGGGATCTACGTCCCTCCCCCTGAACCCAGGAGGGGGGGCGGGTCAAAGGGATACCAAGACAACACAGCCTCCAGTCTAATCTCTTAGGATCTTGTTTTTGGACGCTGCTGCCAAGCAGTGAGGAAGCCACGCGGCCACCAGTAGCCGCCAAGGCCTCAGCCCCACCCCCACCCCGCCCACAGCTGAGGCCCACCGAGAGCAAAGCCCTTTCTGAGGTCCAGACCCACGGTGTCTGTGCGCGTGGTAACTGGGGGGCTTGCACACCACTACGTCTGGACGCTTGAATAATGGTCACCTCATCAAGCCCACGGCCGGCTGGCTGGCAAGGAACAGACGAGGCCAAAATCTGGCGCCTTCTGTGCAGACCCTGGTCGGTCTGAAAGGGACTTGGAGACAGGAGGCCGTGCTGTAGGCTGTGCGTCAGTGTGTGCGTCAGTGTGTGCGGCGGCTGCGGGGCGGCGTGTGCGTCAGCGGCGGAAGGCACGGGGCGGGGATGCAGTCGGTGGCGTGGGAACCGTGTTGCATCGGGACAGACGCAGCTGAGCTCGCGGTGAGCACAGCACGAGGCACAGACCACAGACGTGTGCGAACACCTGGAACTAGTGCAACACTGAGTGTCGGTGACACCCAAGTCCAAGGAAGATAACACCCGGCAGAAGCGCCGGCTTCATCTGCCCTGCCCCTCGCCGGAGCCACCTTCTGGCCACGCGCCAGGATGACCAGCACGCAGGAAGACGAGGGGCCGTGCTGTTGTTCTCCGAAACTTTAAGAAACAGGGCTGTCGCACTGGGCACAGGCTGCGGTGGTGAGAAGTGGTGGCAGGCGTGCCAGGGGTGGCCTGTGGAGGAAGGAATGCCTGCACATATCACTGTGGCAAAGCTGGAAGAGTCTACGCCGTCACCCCGCAGGCCATGGGCTCCACTGTCACCCGAGCAGACCTGGCTTCCGGAAGTGTGTGTGGGACGCTGGTCAGAAAAGAGGGCAGATACAGGGTCCAGGGGAGACCCGACCTGCTCCACCCAGAGAAGCTGGCTGTGGGGGACCCACTCCCTGTGACTCATGGATGACAGCTGGACGGTTAGAAAAAAACCAAACTTTACTTTTAGGTCAACTTCCAATTACCTGGACAACATTCACAACTAGGAGTCAAGCCCATGAGGCTCACACACATGCAGAGCCCTGGCTGGGGGCCCGTGGCGCCACAAACACAGGCGTGCTAGTGTCTCGAGAGCACTAAGTATCAGCCATGGCTGGGGTGTACACAGGCCACACTCACGAGACTCAGGTGTGACGGTCACATAAACGTGCAGCACGCGTGGAGGAAAGCATGCTCGGTTATGTGGTTTTTACCCCGCGAAGCCCCCAACTGTGGGACATGAGCTGCCTCCACCCCCATCTCTCAATTGTCTCCGGTCCCTGACCTCTCGGGCTTCCCGCCTGAATTCCATTGGGTCCTTGCGACCCCCCCCACCCCCACCGTCTTCTGCTGATGCTGTATAAACACCAGACCAGCACCAAGGCCTGTCCCCGGTGGGCAGCAGGCCCTTCCCCATGGGCCTCGTCCAGGGCCAGCTGCAGACGCTGAGGGTCTCACACCCCATCTGCACTGCAGACCAGGGGTCCCCAGCCAGTCCTGTGCACTGTGAGGCAGAGGGTGGACTGTGGGGCCAGGCTGAGCAAACCTTCTCTCAGCCACCACGGGGCATCCAGGGGGCACTCGCTCCCGAAGCGCTAAACCAGAATCGGGAATGGCACCTACTGTGGGCTTTGTGGGGCACACAGATGCCAACAGTGGGTCTACCGTCTCGCAACCCACGTGTCAGGGCAAACTACATCTGTCCTGTTTGAAGTGACCGTGCTCCCTCTTCAGGTGCCCGTGTGGCTCCTGGGACATGGGCTCAGGTGGCCCTCCTATGCAGTGGTATCATTCAGTGAGCTGTTACTGCAGGCTCCTGTGGGGAAAAGAGCCAGCAGAGGCCACTCTTCTAGGGTGGGCTGAGGGCGTGCTGAGCAGAGGGTGCACGTGTTGGAAGGACAGAGGGACCATGGCCCCCACGGCCCCCTCACCTGGAGGACAGAGGAGCCTGCCACCCCCCACTCCCCAGCTTTCCCACAACTCTGTGTCCACCAGACAGGATGCTCACCAGCTTGCTGCTAACAGAGCAAGGCCAGGATTCACCTCTGAATCCTCCAAGCCCCCTGGAGACACAGCAATTCGGGGAGGTAGGAAGTCCCGCCACCAGCTTGCAGGGGCCCAACTGTCCCAGGCCACAGTGGAGGAGCCATCAACAGTGCTGCATCCAGAAGCTGTAGGGTGCACACACCTGTGCAAGGGGCCCCCACTTCTCCTGTGGGGCTGCCTCACCTCTTTCCACCTTCCTGAAACTATGTACCCTAACCCTAACCCTACCGCTCTCCCTTTCTGCACTCCTGCACGGGAGACCCCACAGGGAAAGCCCAGGCCAGAGACAGCGGCTCCCCTGACTCACCCCAACACCCATCCCAGAGCTGATCTCTGCTCGGCAGTGTCCAGTAAGCAGGTGGGTAAATGTTGTCCTGGGAGCTGTCCCATGGCACCCAACATCAGACACCCCAAAAGTCCTGCAGTAAATATGCAATGGCTCAGTTTATGGAAACTGTCACCGAGGGCCTTTGCTTCATAATTATATGGTTTTCTTGTAAATGACCTTAAAAAAATGACTAAGGACAAGTATACCCTTAGAACTCGTTTCATTTTTCCAAACAAACTACAACATAATTGACATAACCAACCAGCAACTGCAAATTAGGATTTTTGTAAGTCATGATTTTAAAACAAAACAAAAAACCCCTGGGGCACCTGGGGTCCGACTCTTGGTTTTGGCTCAGGTCATCATCTCGCAGTTTGTGGTTCAGGCCCCACATCAGGCTCCACACTGTCAGCAAAGAGACTGCTTGGGATTCTCTCTCTCTCCCTCTCTGCCCCTCCCCCAGTCGCTCTTTCAAAATAAATAAACTTAAAAAAAAAAACAAAAATCAGCCCCACAGCAACAACTCTGCTGATTTTGCTCTGGGGCAACAAGAGTATGGCATCCCGGTCTATGCTCCACACAGGAGCAACCACTCCCGCCACTTGGCCTCTCCTTGTAGCTGGGATAGACACGCAGCAGGAGCAAGCAGCTTCTCCTGAACGTGGGAACACAACATCGAGTAAATTTATGAAGTTAACAAGGAAAACTCTAACCTAGAACTTTATAAAACCTATAAAAATGCAAACTAATGTTTTAATTAAGACAAAATGACAGTGTGCATTTTCCCCAAATTCCTTCTGTGTCCCAAGACTTGGCAATCCATTTGCACCTATGCGTGAAGAACCACCCTAAACCATTCCATTAACGAAGCAAAATGTGTTTGATTTCTACAGTATGGAGAACAAATCTCACTCTCTAAGTCATCAACACTGGTGACAAACTCTTCAGAAGTTTTAATGCAGAGCATATTTTAAACCCCTACCACGTGAGCATCACTCTAAGAGATGTGGCATCTCAGGACGGCTGCCCACCACGGCACAAGCACCTGCCATTAGCCTCACAGGATGCTTGCTGAGGGGCGAGGGCTCAGTGCTGGGCCACCACCCCTGGGGGCTTTCAGGAGAAGCCGTAACCTGTCGACACTGTATGTCAGAGCATCTTTCTGACATCTTTCCAGCTAGAAAGCATCAGAGATTCAAGAGTCTGTGTAAACTTTTAGCAAGCATCTCCTGGGGTCTGTGGTAGCTGATTGCTACGAAATCTGTATTTGTACATAGCCGTGGTTCTAACACTTGGCCGACCCCTGTTTCCTGTCAGGATCTGGTGAATGCTGCAGAACCGTGTGCAAGCCCCACAGCACCTACGAAGGTGTGCCTCGCACACCCTGGCTTTCACGCCCTCAAACACTGCACTGTCTCCCACTTCCTTTGTGCTCTGGGGTCTGGCTCGGACATAGGCAGCACTGGCCACAAGCAACCTCCTGTCTGTCATGGTCAGTTTTGTGCCCACTTGGGAGCCTAACCCTACAGTTCCTCAAACATCACCTGTGTGCTGCCAGGAAGGGGTTTTGCAGCCATGACTCAGACCTGCGACCAGCTGACTTCCTGGAGGACACGGCTGGTCCCATTCAAGCAGGGAGCGGTCATGAGGAAGCTGTGGGTGCTGGCTCCCTGCCTGCCTGGTTTCACCAGCCAGTGACATCACACCCCTGCTGTCAGGACCCCAGGACGCACAGTGGCCCCCAAGACACTATGCCAGCCGAGAGGTCACTTCTCAATGAAGGAGCGCAACTGGGCACTTTCAAACCTCCTATGCATCCCACCTTCCAGAAGCTTCCAGCCTGAGGAGCACTGTAGTAGCTTCTCAAGATGCAGCTGAGGGGCCATTTTTTATCTTCTTCCAGGTATATTTCAAGGACATGTTTACATTAAAAATGTGTCATTTTAAGCAATGTAAGTGCAGTTACACTTCAGGGACTGAGGATCTTCAGCATCAAGCTGAGTGAGAGCCCCTTGAGGGGAGCATGCGCACGTGTTTACAGGGCAGACCAGGTGCCTGCAGCCCAAGACCCTGAGTCACAGAGTCATGTGTGGGGCTGGGCAGCTGGAGACGAAAGCACAGGGTACTGAATTTCTTTAGAAGCAGAAAGTCCATGCACTGAATTCAAAGCTCCAAAACAAAGAACTGCTGGAAGAGAATTTATTCATCTGGATGCACAAAAGTTGTTCAAGCTCCTTGGGAAATTTTATCTTGTGCACTTTTGAGCCTCTCACAGTCCCTCACACCGTTCAGGTTTGCTGAGGATGGCTTGCTGAGCCCTGCCCTGCCCTACACACGGCCTGGGGATGGCCTGGGGACAGCATGAGCCCTCCGGCACCCAGAGCCTATGAGAAATGCTGAGCTCAGGCCCCCCTTGATGCCCAGAATCAGATCCCTAGGGGCTCGTCGTGTGCCCGTGATGCTGGAGAAGCTTCAGTGCAGGCGCCGATCCAGCACTGTGGCAGAGGGAGCAGAACCTGGAGTTGGGGGCAGGAGGGAGGCTGCCCACTGGGTAGACGGCACGGAAGCTGGTTTAAGGAGTCCTGCAGACCCTTCTGTTTGACGATTTCTAAAATCAGTGATCATCACAGTAATTCAGACATTTTCACTAAAACTTCGGCACAGACGTTTAAGCAGTGGGTGCTAGAGTCAGACGTAGGCTCTGGGATCAGCCACCAGGCTGGAGCTATACAGAGACAAGTGCCCCTGGGTCTGTGATGCCCTTCAGGTCCACGTGGGCAGGTGACACCTCCCCTACACGGGGCTTCCGGTCAGGAAATGAGGCCCTCACCCCACGAGTACCCAGGAAGACGGTCCTGGCTCATGGAGGACAACTGGGAAGCCCTTCTGAAGTTGAGAACTGTAGTCTGAGGACTTATAGGTAGTAAGAATAACCCTGTAAGCTGCTGACACAGTGTGTGCTTCTACACACGGCGTCAGAAATACTCATGAAAATAAAACCAAACCGAGAAGCCCTGTGTGCGCAGGAAAACAGCCTTGAGTGTCTAGAGATCTAAGAGCCACTGCTCATGCTCTGATGGGGCAGTCGTAGCCTAAAGAAGAGCCTTAATGCAAACAGCCGCGACATCACTTTCATCAAAGTGGACAACAACTCAGAGACAGATGCAGGACTCACACTCAGGGACAAACACAGGGCTCACACATGTCAGAGACAGAGGTAGGACTCACACTCAGGGACAGGCAGAGGACTCACACTTGAGGACAGACACAAGACACACTCAGGGACAGACACTAGGACTCACATTCAGGGACAGACGTCAGGATTCACACTCATCAGGGACAGATGCCAAGGCTCATACACATCAGGGACACATGCCAGGACTCACCCGTATTAGGGACAGACATCAGGACTCACATGTAAGGACAGATGCCAGGACTCACACGCATTGGGAACAGACACAGGACACACATGCACCAGGGACAGATGCCTAGACTTACACTTGTCGGGTATTGGGCAGCAGCTTCCAGTTGCAATCTCACCCTCTGAGGCATCATGACGTCATCCTGAGGCAAAGAACACAGTTTAAACTCACATAACCCACAAACAAGAAAGAAACAGATAGAAAAGCCAACAGCAAAATGGGCAAGAGCCAGGAACAGGCAATGCAGATGCTACCCATGGGACCAGGAACCCTGTTAGTTGGCAGGGAGATGCTGGCAGTCCCCACGATGGCTCGCACACTGCCATGTGCAAGCACTCCAGAGGGCACTTGGCCTCGTCCAGCGATCTGAGGATACACATCCCTAAGACACAGGCCCCGCACCACTGGGAAGGGGCATCTTGTATGCCTTTCTAGAAGTTGGACCAGCCCAACTTTCTAGAAGTTGGCCTACAGAAATACTTGTAGAACAAATGAAATGTCCGCTCAAGACTGAATTATATTTTCGATTACTTCACCAGTTACAAAACGCTCACATATACTTTTTTTTTTTTTTAATTATAATCTTGTATAGTTGAAGGCAGGGCAGCTAAAATTATCCCTGTTTTGTAGCCAATGAAAACAAGGCTTGGAAAGGCTATGTATTTCACCCAAGGTCTCACAGCAATTACATGCCAGGGTTAAAATTTGAACATGGGATTAACTGAGAAACCAATATTTGCTAAAACCAAAACTGCCCAGAAATTCCTGTCTCTCAAGAACATTCCACCACTTCCTGAACTAGAATCACCCCCAGGGTGTCTGAATAAAGTCAACCCCTGCAAGTATACAGAATACTGAAGACAGCTAACACACCCACTGACAATTAGCTTAGAAATTCCAGGAGAAACGCAAGGAGCAAAGAAGCCCCCAAACCAAGCAACACGACAGGTACCCCATGATTTCAGAGCACACACTGGCCTGTAGGTCACAGAGAAGCTCCTTGTTCTCCCGAGACCATTTTGAAAGAAGAAAAACTTGCTGATGGGATGAATGAAAAGGTCTTTATTACACAAGAAAAGCCATGTGCTATTTTAATAAACAAGCTCAGATGTGTTTCTGCTGGTGGCCATGATCTGCACCACTTTTCGTGTCCTGCAAAAGGCCCCATTCTGGTCAAGGTCCACAGAGTTCACAGCTGGTGCCCAACACCAGGAGCTGGTTTTAACAAAAGTCAGCTGGTATTTGAGATGCAAAGGAGAGGAGCCTAAGGGGTGGATACACAGTCCTGACCCCACAGTGCACAGGAGGGAGGGCTCAGAAACCTCCACACATGTTTGCCTGAGAGTGTGCAAGGTCCCCAGACTGGCTGAAGTTCCACAATGATACCCAGTTAAGAAACAACATTCTCGGCAGCCTAGGGCAAAGGATTTTGATGTATTATAAAAATAACATTAATTCAGAATGAAATGCTGTTTCCTTTCTGACCACAATAATATTAGGTAGAAACAAGCTCATCTAGTCAAAGAATTTTGTAGTTCAAAGAAACCTGGAGCTTCAAATTAAGTAGCTTCTGAGTGAGAATGGCCCTGGGAGAGTATGGCTATGGGCTCCTGGGGATGGCCAGGGCCATGGTCAGGCAAGAGCTAGAGGCAGACAGAAGCCAAGGATGGGACGTGCTGCCTGCAAATCAAAGTTGCCACCAGCCACAAGAAGATCTCCCTCTACGGCAGAAAGCAAGGTCAATTTGTGTGTGTGTGTGTGTGTTTGTTAAGTGTCTTTATGCCTGGCTTTCAGACTCAAAGACAGAAGTTATGTGGTCACGTGCTCAGGAGGCTCCCCGAAGAAGGGGAGGAGACAGAGCAGACTGACTGACAGGTTGAAACCCTGCTTGCAAAGTACAGGGCCAAGGAATTATCAAATGTTAGCTACCTGTGTGTTTCTGCAAAAAATTCTGACTTATGGAGAAATTTCCTGCTCATGGTTTGCTACCTGCTCATGTGCCAGGACAGGGTCCCGACCCCAGTCAAGAGGCCTCCAGGTTCCACCCGCAGAAATGACACACTAGCCTTTGGCACACAAATAATCCTGCTCTGTTCAGCTAAGAAAGCTGTGTAAAATATCTTAAAAGTCTTAATAGCAATAGAGAGTTAACGAGAAGCACTCGGGGTCCTGGGTCCAAATCCAGGCAGGGGTGTGAACAGGAAAACACCAGCCGTTTCTGCCCCGGAGGCATCAATGAGCCTAACGAAAGTCTGAGAGGAGGGCAACGGGAGCCCAGGGCTGCTCAGTGTCAGGGAGGGAGCGGGTGCTGCTCACCCACAGCACTTGCCAGTTCAGGCTGCGGCTGCTGTCTCCCCAAGGCGATAGGGGCTCGAGGGACAATGGCCACAGGGCCCCAGGCACCCGGAGGAAGTGAGGGGGAGTCTCTGAGGGAGGACTCTCATCTGAGGCAAGGCCTCAGACTGCACAGGTGCTAAAACACAGCGGCCAGCACACGAGGGTCACCAGGCAGACAAAACAACACATGGTAAGACTCTCAGAAAGCAACCACTAAGAAAATAACTCAAAGAGTTAAAAATCAGTAATTTTAAGCAGTGCACTGGAAAATATCTGTTCAATAAAATAGGTGGAAGCAGCAAGGACAGAAGACGTGAACAAAAGAGACGTGAGGCCGAAAGTAAACAGGGAACGCATGAGCACACACAGCCAAATAAACAACAAATGTGAAAAAACTCAATTCTTTTTTTTTTTTTTTCAACGTTTATTTATTTTTCGGACAGAGAGAGACAGAGCATGAACGGGCGAGGGGCAGAGAGAGAGGGAGACACAGAATCGGAAACAGGCTCCAGGCTCTGAGCCATCAGCCCAGAGCCCGACGCGGGGCTCGAACTCACAGGACCGCGAGATCGTGACCTGGCTGAAGTCGGACGCTTAACCGACTGCGCCACCCAGGCGCCCCCCCAAAAAAAACTCAATTCTTTAACTAAAACTAAACACTGTCAGATTGGGTTAAAACACACACACACACACACACACACACACACACACACACACACACACACACACAGAAAGAAGATCTACTGACGTGCTATTTGCAAGACACAGACATCAGGTTCCGACACAGAGCGACTAAACGTGGGAGGGCGGAAGATCCCACGCAAACTGAAGCCAGAGAGACGGACAGACCTTCGGCAACAGGATGCCTGGAGACGGGGAGGAGGCTACATGCGGACAGAGGGCCGCCATCAAAAAGAAGTAAAGGTCGTAAATGCACTTGCGTGCTGGCCACAGAGGAAGAGGAAATAAAAAGCACAGACCTGAAGAAAGAAAGGGACAACTCAACAGCAAAAGCTGGAAATTCAGACACTCACTGTGGGCACCAGACAGGACGGCTGGACGGGCCAGGCCACCCGCAGAGAGAAGGGAGGCAGTGCCATCAACCAGCACTCAACCCACCAGTGCAGGCTCGTCTACGCAGCAGGGACCACAAATGTGAAAGCATTAAGATCATATGAAACCTGTTCTCTGACCACAGTGAAGTCAGAAACCAAACACAGGAGGGTATTTGGTAAATCTACCACCAATGTGTGGAAATGAACAATTTACTTCTAAACAGCCGACAGTTGCAGAAGAAATCACAATTAGAAAATATTCTGAGCTGAATGAAAACATGATATAGCAATACAGCAAAAGCCGCACCTGTACCAACAAAGACTGATTTCTTAAGAAACAACAATAAAAAAGAGAAAACTAAACCAAAAGTAAGAAAAAAATAATAAAGATCAGAGCAGAAACAGAAAGAGACAGAGAAAAGAAAAGCAACAGAAACAATCAATTCAAACAATGATTGGTTCTTTGAAAACATCAAATTTAACAAACTTTTAGCTAGATTGGAGACCAACAAACTTTTTCTATAAAGGGCCAGAGAGTAAATATTTTGGTCTTTGTGGCCATATGTGGTTTCTGCCAATATTCTTGGTTTTTTGTTGTTGTTTGTTATTTTGTTTTTATAACATTTTAAAAATAAAAAGACCATTTTTAGCTCAGAGACCATAAAAAACAGGCTGCCAGGGGTTTTGTCCTGTGAGCTGTCATCTGCTGACTCCTGAGCGAGACAGACCAAGAAAAAGAGAAGACGCAAGTAAGTAAATTTAGGAATGAAAAGGAAGACAGCAAGGCTGGCCTCAGAGAAGTTAAGAGAACTACAGGAGAGTCCAAACCAACTGCTCACCAACAAAGCAGACAATTAGATGAAACGGATAATTCCCAGAAAGATATGGGTTTCTGAAACTGACTGAAGAAGAAAAATAAAATCTGAAGAGATCTATAAAAAGTAAAAAAAAAAAAAAAAAAAAAAAAAAAAAAAAAAAAAAAAAAGAAAAAAAAATTGGGCTAGTAATTAAAAATCTCTCCCCACAAAAAATTAAAAATCTCATGGGGCGCCTGGGTGGCTCAGTCGGTTAAGCATCCGACTTCGGCTCAGGTCATGGTCTCGCGGTCCGTGAGTTTGAGCCCCACGTCGGGCTCTGTGCTGACAGCTCAGAGCCTGGAGCCTGTTTCGGATTCTGTGTCTCCCTCTCTCTCTGACCCTCCCCCGTTCATGCTGTCTCTCCCTGTCTCAAAAATAAATAAGCGTTAAAAAATAATAAAAGGGGCGCCTGGGTGGCGCAGTCGGTTGAGCGTCCGACTTCAGCCAGGTCACGATCTCGCCCTCTGTGAGTTCGAGCCCCGCGTCGGGCTCTGGGCTGATGGCTCAGAGCCTGGAGCCTGTTTCTGATTCTGTGTCTCCCTCTCTCTCTGCCCCTCCCCTGTTCATGCTCTGTCTCTCTCTGTCCCAAAAATAAATAAACGTTGAAAAAAAAAAAATTAAAAATAATAAAAAATAAATAAAAATCTCTCCCCACAACTCTCCAAGTTCAGATGGCATAAGTAGTAAATTCTACCAAACATTTAAAGAAGAAACAGGGGTGCCAGACTGGCTCAGTTGGTAAAGCACATGACTCTTGATCTCGGGATTGTGAGTTCAAGTCCCATGTTGGGCGCAGAGATTCCTTAAAAATAAAATCTTAAAAAAAAAAAAGAAGAAACAATATGTCACCTTCACCACAAAGCCTCCAGAAGTGGTAGAGGCAGGGATACATC